TCAGTCGGACGAATGCGGTTTTGGCCGAGCGCGGAACATTCGTTCCTCGGCCAGCCGGACTGCGCGGTTTGGGCGCTGATTCTCGATAGAGCCGTCTGGACAGTCTTCACTCTTTTGGTATAACTCCTTTTCTACTCATCCAAATGAGGCCATTCCAGTTGCGTTGGAAAGTTAACTCAATCAGAGCACGCAGGGAACTGGTCTTGATGAAATCCATTGAGTAGATCTTTTTCTGGGCCCTCTTAAAGTTGGTGCTTGTGCATGGAGCTGGCTTGAAGTGCAAATCCTATGGTTTTGCTCCAAAATGCATCATTTCACCTGTTTAGACTCTAGACACTATAAACACAGTAAAACTACCTTTTTAGATAGAAAACCTGCCAAAAACCATTAGAAAACAATACTAAAACAGTATAAAAAGTGGGTAAATAGAGGTATATCAACTCCCCCAGACTTAGATCTTTGCTTGTCCCCAAGCAAAAAGAATCTAAATCCGTGAAAGAGGTTTGAAAACGTGGAAGCTCCCTTGCTCTTTTGAATATCCTGTGAAAGGTTCCTTTCCTGTATTCCACTATGAACATAGACAACATAAGGTTAGCTTCACATACACCCTGCAAGTTTAGCGAACAATACCAACCCAACTAGTCTCATCCAGCAATCCAAACTCTCTATTGCTAACCTCTTGCATAAATTTAAAGCGTGAATTCTTTATCAAGGGGACATCGATCAATTGAACTTGTTCTTACCCACTTGATCCTCTCCAAGATTGCCTCTTTAAGTGCAATGAGTTCTTTTCCTCTCTCTTTCTCACATCAGAACTTTGAAAGGTCAATTTCTCCCTACTTTTCTAGGGTATCATTTTATTTTTTCTATTGACCCTTCTTTCAACCACAGGATAAGTCTTTAGCTTGTTCCTTGTTTGACTAAGGTATTCCATAAGACATGAAGGTACAGACATATGCATTCCTCATGCTTACTTGTTTTCCTTGTGCTCTTTGAGCTTTTTCTCATAAACATTACTTACCATTTGGGATGGGAGAGAGAGGAGAACTCTTTAAAGATTAGACAAATCTTATTGAAAATCAAGCAAGGAACTGTCGACATGTATGCCAACCCCCTTAAGAGTAATTAAGATTGATTAAGGTGAGGTTAACTCTAGATTGCTTGGTTACCTTAGAAATTTTGCTGAGCTAGCATGTCGATCCACTGTAAGAGCTTCTGTTAGGCTTGTGCCTTTAGCTGGTTTCTGCTCTAGGGTCATGGATTGTTAGCACAACACTCTCAATTCTCAAAGCAAGTTCATAACTTCCGGACTGGTTTTTGACTCAATAAAACTTTTTGAAAAACATGAAACAAAATGACTAAAACATAAGAAAAGAAAGAAAAATGCATTAGTAACACAATAAAACTCCCCCCAGACTTAACTTGCACCGTCCCGGTGAAAGCAAATCACATTAAGGTGAGAGGTAATATTCAAAACAAAAGAAAATTAAAGAAAATGAAAAGAAATGACCTTCAATGGGTTGCCTCCCATTCAGCGCTTTGTTTAAAGTCTTTAGCTTGACTGTATGGCACTTCCTTAAGGATCTGGTGGATCGCCAAGAGCAGTGTGGTCTCCTGTGGTATGGTGGTGGAGGCTAGGTAAGGTTTTAACCTTTGTCCATTGACTGTAAAGTCTCCTCCCATTGGTCCCATAGTACCACTGCTCCATAGGGGCGAACTTCTTTAATCCTGAATGGTCCTGACCATCTTGAGCGAAGCTTTCCTGGAAAGAGTTTCAACCTTGAGTTGAATAGTAGAACTTGGTCGTTTGGCGCAAAGTTCTTTGGGATGATCTTGCGGTCATGGAAAGCTTTGGTTCTCTCCTTATAGATCTTTGAATTCTCATAAGCCAGATGCCTAATCTCATCAAGCTCATTCAGCTGAATCAATCTTCTTTCTCCTGCTGTCTTTAGGTTGAAGTTCAACTCCTTAATAGCCCAAGCTGCTTTGTACTCAGCTCACAGGTAAATGACATGCTTTACCATAGACAAGATGAAAGGGGGTGGTACCAAGTGGTGTTTTGAAGGCAGTGCGTATGCCCATAGAGCATCATCTAGTTTGGCACTCCAATCCTTTCTTGTCTTGCCTGTTGTCTTCTGAAGTATGCTCTTGAGTTCTCTGTTTGAGATCTCAACTTGTCCACTAGTTTGGGGGTGGTAAGGAGAGGCAACTTTGTGAGTGACTCCATGCTTCTTCAAAAGGTTGGCAAAGATTCTGTTGATGAAATGTGAACCTCCATCACTTATGACTATCCTAGGCACTCCAAACCTTGGAAAAATGATGGATTTAAACATCTTGATGACCACTTGTGCATCATTAGTAGGGCTGGCAATGGCTTCCACCCATTTAGAGACATAATCAACTGCCACTAGAATGTATTGGTCACCAAAAGAGGTTGGGAAGGGTCCCATAAAGTCAATGCCCCAAACATCAAAAACTTCAACTTCTAGTATAAAGTTCTGTGGCATCTCATTCCTCTTGCTTATATTTCCCATTCTTTGGCAAGCATCACATCTTGATATGAATGCATGAGCATCCTTAAACATTGTTGGCCACCAAAATCCAGCTTGTAGGACCTTGGATACTGTCTTGTAAGTGGCAAAGTGGCCTGCATAACTAGAACTATGACAAGCAAACAATATTCCTTCTACCTCTTCCTCTGGTATGCATCTTCTAAACATTCCATCTGAACATTTCTTGTATAAGTAAGGTTCATCCCAGTAGTACCTTCTTACATCACGCAGAAACTTCTTCTTTCTGTAGCCAAAGAAGTTTGGTGGTGGGTATTCAGCTGCAAGGAAGTTTGCTATGTGGCGAAACCATGGTGTGTTTGATGATGAGATCTTTGTTCCTGGCCTGTGATGGCCTAGTTGTCCATGCTTATTGCTAGCTTCAGCTGCATAAACTGATTCTTCAGGTAGCCTATCATCAAGGGGTAGATTTTCTTCAACTCTCATCCTTGAAAGATGATCAGCTACTCCATTATCTGCTCCTCTTCTATCCTTGATCTCAAGATCAAATTCTTGCAGTAGTAGTATCCATCTCAACAATCTTGGCTTGGCATCTTTCTTAGATAAAAGATACCTTAATGCTGCATGATCAGAGTGAACTATAACTTTTGATCCCACCAAGTATGATCGAAATTTCTCAAATGCAAAGACAATAGCAAGAAGCTCCTTTTCTGTTGTGGCATACTTGCATTGTGCCTCATCAAGTGTTCTGCTGGCATAGTAGATCACATGTAGCTTCTTGTCTTTTCTTTGTCCAAGCACTGCTCCTACTGCATAATCACTTGCATCACACATTATCTCAAAAGGTAGTTCCCAGTTTGGAGGTTGAACCACTGGCGCACTGACCAATGCATCTTTGATCTTAGTGAAAGCCTTGTGACACTCCTCTGTGAACTCAAAGTTAATATCCTTGCATAATAGGCGTGTTAGCGGCCTTGCTATCTGTGAGAAATCTTTAATGAACCTCCTGTAGAACCCAGCATGTCCTAGGAAGCTTCTGATATCTTTAACTGTCTTGGGCGGCTGAAGGTTTGTCATACTTCAATCTTGGCCTTGTCAACTTCTATGCCTCTCTCTGAGATTCTATGTCCAAGCACTATTCCATCTCTAACCATAAAATGGCACTTCTCCCAATTTAGAACTAGGTGCTTGTCTTCACATCTCTGTAGCACTCTTCCAAGATTTCCCCAAACATGATTCAAAGGAAGAACCATATACTGAGAAATCATCCATGAAAACCTCCATAATCTCTTCTATGAGATCTGTGAATATGGACATCATACACCTTTGGAATGTAGCTGGAGCATTGCACAATCCAAAAGGCATCCTCCTATAAGCATATGTGCCATAGGGACAAGTGAATGTAGTCTTCTCCTGATCATCTGGGTGGATTGGAATTTGGAAAAATCCTGAGTATCCATCCAAGAAACAGTAGTATTGATGATTGGCAAGGCGCTCAAGCATCTGATCTATGAATGGCAAGGGGTAGTGGTCCTTGCGCGTGGAAGAGTTCAGCTTTCTGTAGTCGACACAAGTATGATTTAGGGTTTGATTGTGTAACAAGTAAATCGAAATAGCAGAATGAATGGTTTATGAAAATCAATGGATGGAAACACTAGGCAGTGAGAAACTCGCAGAGAATCAAGGTTAACAAGATATTAGAAGGTTTACTAGGGTTTGCGCTATCTAGAACTCAGGTCACGATTGTATGATCTTTCCACTGTCGAGGCTCCGACCCCTTTGTTAATCTACCTAGTCGCTAAACTTTTGGTATGTCCCTAGGTGATTAAATCAAGCAATAATTCGTTCAAGACCCAATTGTTCACAACCCCTCATAGATCAACTTTCGCAGTCTATGAAGTTTTGCTCACCAAATACTTAGTTCAGGTTATATAGCAAGCTTTTGGAGAGTATATGAAACCTAAGATCTGATGCTAGATTGATCAGAAAAGCAAGCAGCAATAAGTTCAAGTAGAGGCGAAGATGCGATATGATAAACCCTATGTGACTTCTAACAACCTATCAAACCATGAACTCTTTGATAGATCTCACAACCTAACTAGTGAATTACTCAGACATGATCAAAGCAAACACAAAGAGATGAAGAAAACATGATTGCAATAAAACTTAAGTAGGAAATTCGTAATACAAGGGCGGCTCTCTTTCTCAAGAGGCTAAAAATCCATATATATAGTGCTAGGTCTTTTCTAGAGGCGGCTAGGGTTAAGCCGGGCTTGAAAACATAAGTTTGGGCTTCAAAAGGGCTTCGGGTCGACCGCGGCGTTGGGACGGTCGTGCGGGACGATCGGCCGGACAGTCGGATCGTGGGCGAGTCGGAACGGTCGGGGCGGATGGATTCGCGGTCGGCCGGCGTGGTCGAGCGGATTGAAACTTGGCCGATGAAGATTCTCGGCCGGACGTGGGACGTTCTTTCCCGGCTCGGACGGATGCATCGGCCGTGGCACGCGAGATGGGTTGCGCGGCCGCGAGGCTTGTTTCCCGGCTCGCGCGCTTGGTCGTGCGCGGCTTGGCGTGACGCTTGAAGCTTGGCCGACCGCGGGCATGTTTCCCGGGTCGTGCGTGTGATCGGCCGAGTGGTTTGACTTTGGCCGAGACTTCAGTCGGACGAATGTTTTGGCCGAGCGCGGAACATTCGTTCCTCGGCCAGCCGGTCTGCGCGTTCGGCTGATTTCTCGATAGAGCCGTCTGGACAGTCTTCACTCTTTTGGCTATAACTCCTTTTCTACTCATCCAAATGATGCCATTCCAATTGCGTTGGAAAGTTAACTCAATCAGAGCACGCAGGGAACTGGTCTTGATGAAATCCATTGAGTAGATCTTTTTCTGGGCCCTCTTAAAGTTGGTGCTTGTGCATGGAGCGGCTTGAAGTGCAAATCCTATGGTTTTGCTCCAAAATGCATCATTTCACCTGTTTAGACTCTAGACACTATAAACACAGTAAAACTACCTTTTTAGATAGAAAACCTGCCAAAAACCATTAGAAAACAATACTAAAACAGTATAAAAAGTAGGTAAATTAGAGGTATATCAGGGCGCAGCATGAACCACCATCTAGAATCGAGTCATGGATCGATTTAATCAAGCATGTAGGAGAGGAATCCTTTCTACAACTCTATTTCTGAATGTGCAAAGGAGCATCTATGCAACTTTGAGCAGCTTTGTCATGACTATGGACTTGGAGACAACCCCAAGAAGATACAACTTTTCCAACTATCTCTAGCTGGACAAGCCAAAGACTGGGCTAAGTTCAATGCCCAACATGCTTTCAAGACTTGGAATGGATACAAAGGAAGCTTTCCTCCACAGATTTGAAAGGTCCTGTTTATGTCCCACCACCACGCCCAAGCTATTCACAATACCATCCATCATCACCAGACATAAACAAGACACATTTTTAAGGGAGAGCTATCAAGCCACGCGCCTAAACCAAGATTGAAGATATGCTTCAAGAGTACTTGAGAAATCAAGAAGAGAGTACAAAGAAGATGGAGAGAAGAATCGATTTCATCCATGAGAGCCTTGGAAACAAATCTGAAGTCCTATTCAAGCAAGTGATCAAGCTTGATGAAGACATTAAGAAGTTAAGAGAGGATCATGATCGATCTTTGACCCTAGTTAAGCTTGATGTTGCTTCCAAATATCAAGAGTTGCTGAACAAGAGCATGAGAATTGAAGATACTAGCTATGGCAATAGCAAGCACCTTGGATCAATCTACAACCGCCTACAAGCCCTTGAAGGATCATCTCATGCCAACTTACAAGAGAGAGAGGAGTCCAACACCCAACCACCCTCCCTTTTATTGCAATGCCATCACAAGAAGAAGCACTACTCAAGTCCATGAAGGACAATGAAGAAGAAGAAAGAGAGTATGAGGAACAATTGAATGATGAAGATGAAGAGCAGAGCATCGACATCAATGCTTCCCCAAAACAGAGCATGGATACACCAAGCCCTAGAGACCCTCGTTTCTCACCAAGAAGTCAAGCTTCTACACTTCCAAGATTGGAAGCAATGCAAAGACCATCACCACCTACTGAAGAAGAAGATACTTGGCAGTATGATCCCATTGATCCCAACAAGATAAGCCCCATGAAGCTTAAAGAGTTCAATGCTAAGGTGAAATCACTTCCATTCTATGTCACTTTTGAAGAAGCTTGGGATAAACATGGTCTAGTGGAGTTCTTTTTCACAACTAGTGAAAACAAAGAAGAGATACACCAACTTTTCAGGAAGGCTCGATTTCCCCTTGCCCCTCATGCAGTCAATCAACCACCATCACCACCATCTCACCACCACCCAAGTGGTATGTCAATTCCATATCAAGAGAGAAGCTTGCTGAGTTCAATCAGTTTGTCCAAACTCTTCCAGCCAGCATGTCCTTCCAAACAAGCTTGGCGCCACTACCCATTCACCACCTTCTTCCACAACTGCAAGGAGACACCTGAAGACATAAAGAGCTTTTTGAGAAAGCTAAAGTTCAGCCTACCTTCAAGACCCTCTACAAGATTGAAGACCCAGGTCAATTCTCTATTCCCTGTCAAGTAAATGGTCATTACTTTGATAGAACACTATGCGATTCTGGCTCTTGCATAAACCTCATGCCAACCCAAACCGCCAAACTCCTTGGCATCACACGCTTGCAACCTGCTCAAATTAGTATTGGACTTGCTAACCATACTATAGCCAAGCCAAGAGGAGTTGTTATTGATGTTCTTCTAGAGATTGGAGATATCAAGATCCCGGTGGACTTTCATGTCATAAACATTCAAGGAGGATGTGACACACCATTGATACTAGGCCGACCCTTTTTGGCCACTGCTGGAGCTGTCATGGACCTTCCAAACCGGCGAATGTCCTTTGCCAATGTGACAAGACAGTCTTTTACAAGACCATACCATTCATCGCACCAAACAAGCTGTCTTACCTCATCACTGCCCAAGGCCGCCCAAGAGAGCCACCAGACCACACTCAAGGTCACAATGAGACAAGAACTAAAAGACTATGTCTCAGGCCGTGCCCTTACCCCATCTCCAACTAAGAGATCCTATCAGTCAAGCTAATGACTAAAAAGAAGCGCTGCATGGGAGGCAACCCATGAAAGGTGTTTTTCTTTACTTTTCTTTTCAATTAGTTTTAGTTAATGTCTAGTTTTGTTTTGAGTTTTGGATACAGGAATCTAAGAACCACACAATGGTAAAGAAGATATACCACAAAGAAGAATGTTCATAGTTGGCGCGACTTAGATGGCCGAGCAGAACCTCTCCACGCTCGCCCATGTCCTCTCAAGCCGCCCAACACACCATCCCATCTCATTCCATCTGCATCTCACCCATCCCACCTCACCACACTTGCATTCCATCACTACCATCATTCCACTGCATTCACCATTCTTCAAGTAACACAAATCAGGTTACATCTTTCTTTTTACATTCACAACCACTTTATTACCTCTTTCTTTAACTCCCTTAATTGGATTTTCTTTCACCGGGACGGTGCAAGTTAAGTCTGGGGGGATTGTCGGTACTAATGTGTTTGTTCATGGTTGTTTTGATCTTATAATTGGTTTTTCCTAACCCACTTTTTCAAAACTTCTGTTTTATTGAGTCAAAACCAGTCCGGGAACAATGAACTTGCTTTGAGATTTGATAGTGTATGCTAACAATCTATGACCCTAGAGCAAACATCAGCTGAAGGCACAAGCCTAACAGAAGCTCCTAGAGTGGATCGCATGCTAGCTCAGCGAAATTTCTAAGGTAACCAAGCAATCTAGAGTTAACCTCACCCTTAATCAATCTTAATAACTCTTGTCAAGGGGATTGGCATACATGTCGACAGTTCCTTGCTTGATTTTCAATGAGATTTGTCTAAAGAGTTCACCTCTCTCTCCCATCCCAAATGGTAAGTAATGTTTATGAGAAAAGCTCAAAGAGCACAAGGAAAACAAGTAAGCATGAGGAATGCATATGTCTGTACCTTCATGTCTTATGGAATACCTTAAATCAAACAAGGAACAAGCTAAAGACTTATCCTGTGGTTGAAAGAAAGGTCAATAGAAAAAATAAAATGATACCCTAGAAAAGTAGGGAGAAATTGACCTTTCAAAGTTCTGATGTGAGAAAGAGAGAGGAAAGGAACTCATTGCACTTCAAAGACAATCTTGGAGAAGATCAAGTGGGTAAGAACAAGTTCAATTGATCGATTTCCCTTGATAAAGAACTCACGCTTTAAATTTCTGCAAGAGGTTACAATAGAGAGTTTGGATTGCTGGATGAGACTAGTTGGGTTGGTATGTTGCTAAACTTGCAGGGTGTATGTGAAGCTAACCTTATGTTGACTATGTTCTTAGTGGAATACAGGAAAGGAACCTTTCACAGGATTTTCAAAGAAGCAAGAGAGTTCCCACGTTTTTCAAAACCTCTTCACTAGTTTAGATTCTTTTTGCTTGGGGACAAGCAAAGATCTAAGTCTGGGGGAGTTGATATACCTCTATTTTACCTACTTTTTATGCTATTTTACTATGGTTTTCTAATGGTTTTCTAGTGGATTCTTGTGTTAAAAGGTAGTTTTTATGGATTTATAGTGCAAAGAGTCATTTTAGGTAAAAAGGTGCATTATGGAGCAAAACAGGAGATTTGGACTCTAAACCAGTTCAATGCCCCTGCATCAACTTTGGATGGAGCTAGAAAAAGATCTACTCAATGGATTTCATCAAGACCAGTTCCCTGCGTGCTCTGATTGAGTTAACTTTCCAACGCAACTGGAACGGCCTAATTTGGATGAGTAGAAAAGGAGTTATAGCCAAAAGAGTGAAGGCTGCTCCAGACGGCCATATCGAGAATCAGCGCCGAACGCGCAGTCCGGCTGGCCGAGGAACGATGTTCCGCGCTCGGCCAAAACCGTATCCGTCCGACTGAAGTCTCGGCCAAAGTTCAACCACCGGCCGATCACGCACACGACCCGGGAAACATTGTCCCGCGGTCGGCCAAGCCAACGTCACGCCACGCCGCGCACGACCAGCGCGCGAGCCGGGAACAAGCCTCGCGGCCGCGCAACCCGTTCGCGTACCACGGCCGATGCATCCGTCCGAGCCGGGAAAGAACGTCCCACGTCCGGCCGAGAAACCATCGGCCAAATCTTCTCCGCCCGACCAGCCGGCCGACCGTGAAATCATCCGGCCCGACCGTTCCGACTCGGCCAAGACCCGACTGTCCGGCCGATCGTCCCGCACGACCGTCCGAACGCCGCGGTCGACCCGAAGCCGTTTTTGAAGCCCAATCCGCACAATTCAAGCCCAAAGCCGGCGCCGACCTAGCTAGATTAGGTTTAGCCGTCTTCTTCATACTTAGAGCATTATAAATACTTCTTTTTAGCCTTGTAACTCAAGAAGGAGAGAGACCACAATCTATTTTACATCTTAATAAAGTTTTGCTTGCTTTTACTTTGTTCTTGCTTGTTACTCTTTCTAGAGAGGATTCGAATCTCTGTTCTTATGAATATGAATTCGTTTCCTTCTCTATGTCTGAGTAGTTTACTTGTTAAGTGATAGGAAGTCAAAGGATAGCATTCATGTATGCTTGATGATTGATCACAATTAGGGTTTTACTTATAATCTCCATCTTTGCTTATACTTAATGCTTGTTGTTAATCTGGCCAATTAGCATATGCCTTTAGGTTGATTTGAGCCTCGACAGTGCTGTATCATTCGCCTGAACTAGTATTTGGTGGGCAATCTCTTTTAGACTGCGACAGTTGATCTACTTGTAGGTTGTGAACAATTGATCTTGATCGAACTAATGCTTGATTTAATCACCTAGGGACATACCAAAAGTTTAGCGACTAGGTAGATTAACAAAGGGGTCGGAGCCTCGACAGTGGAATGATCATACCATAGTGTTTCAAGTTCTAGATTAGCACCTAAGTGCGGTAACCCTAATTGATTGATTTCATGCTTCTTGAATTGCTTATCTCAAGACTATCCTATTGCTTAGCCTTTCTCTCCTATTGAATTCTCACTTTTATTACTTGCATGCTTTACTTTCTCTGCACTCAACCAACTTATACTTTTGCCCTAGCTTGTTCTCAAACTCATAACTTGTAGTGTGCAATCTGGTCCTTGTGTTCGATACCCGTTTACTACTTCTGACCTGTGCACTTGCAGAATCAGGGATAGGAAATGGGAAAACCTAATCCCACACATCACTTATCCAGAAATGGACGAATCAAATGGAGATACACAGCAGCTTCTAAGACGGGCCAATCATGTAGCAACATCCAGCTACTAATGAAGACGAAGCAAGCCTAAACCAATTGGGCAACGACACCAGCTGCTAAAGAGGAGAGAGGGCGTGGATAAACTCCAAGAAGACCTAATGCTATCAGGGAGAGACACCCAGCTGCTCATGAAGACAAGAATTGTCCAAACCAATCAGACGGAGACATAGAAGTGCTCAATGGAGACGAAATTGACTTGGACGAATCAGGATGCAACACCAACCACTGAGAGAGAGAGAAGCTTCAGGAGTGGATGAGAAGCAAGTGGAGAGATGCAGAAACGGATTGGATCAAGAGCTGACCAATCAGACAGAAGCACCCAGCATCTTAATGGATAAGATGAGTTATAACCAATCGGACGATCACACCACATGCTTGGGGGAAGTCGGCTCATTGGATGAGCATTGAGAGGGGATAGGAATGACGTGTGTCATGTCCTGAGACGCCCTAGAGGCCACCAATCAAAGCTACCTAGCCTAGACCGCCTGGATGTCGCGTTCTGAGGCAGTGTAGGTCGCCACCAAGCAAAGCTATGCTAGGCCTAGGTCTCCATGTGTCTGCGCATGACTGGAGACGTCCCAAGAAGCCAGGCAGCCTCCTGAACTCCTATAAATACGCTCCTCCAGCCCCAAGTCCAAACCATTCCATTCCCAAAGCTAGAGAGCACCTGAAAAGTGATTAGAGAGTAATTAAGAAAGTTTTCTTAATTAAGTGAGGTTAGTGGAAGATTAGAGTAGGTCAAGATCAAAGCTTAAGGAAAGCTAGGAGGATCTTGAAGTCTTCTTAAAGTGGTGAGTCTTGGTGTTATAGTTTTAGTCTTTTGGATCTTTGTTTGTGTATGCAGGTTGTATGAACACCAAAGCATAGGAGATGCTTTCTGTTCATATTGGTTATTGGTTCTGTAGTATAACTCTCTAAACAATAAGGTTTAGTAAAAATTGTGGAGAGTTATGCTGCAGAAATTTATATAATATGTTGTGAGGTTGTGATGGGTAATCTTCTAGGAGAGAAGTTATGCCGTCAAATCTCTTGTGTGTTTATATGCAGGTTTGCATTGTTGTGAGGTTGTGATGGGTAATCTTCTAGGGAGAGAAGTTATGCCGTCAGATCTCTTGTGTTGTGAGGTTGTGTCGGGTAACCTTCGGGGAAGGTTAGGCCGCCAGATCTCTTTTGTGTGTGAGGTTGTGTTGGGTAACCTTCGGGAAGGATATGCCAACAGATCTCTTTTCTGTGTAAGATTGTGATGGGTAACCTTCGGGGAAGGTTATGCCATCAGATCTTGTTAGTGTAGATGCATATCTATACATTAGGTGATGTGAGATTGTGGATGGCTATGCCGCCAAATCTCATAGATGCATCGGTTGTGGGGTTATAGCATGGCTATGCCGCTAAACCTCGAGTGCATACTAACATGGTGGTGCGTGAGGCCCATATGTTGAGTATGACTCCGCCGATGCTAGCATGCACTCGAGGTTTAGCGGCATAGCCATGCTATAACCCCACAACCGATGCATCTCTATGCACCTGCATAAACAAGATCTGACGGCATAACCTTCCCCGAAGGTTACCCATCACAATCTTACACACAAAAGAGATCTGCCAGCATAACCTTCCCCGAAGGTTACCTAACACAACCTCACAACACAAGAGATCTGACGGCATAACTTCTCTCTCTAGAAGATTACCCGTCACAACCTCACAGAGATTTCTGCAGCATAACTCTCCACAATTTTTACTAAACATTATTGTTTAGAGAGTTATACCACATACTTATGAAACGATAGAAGGAAATAAACTATAACCTAGCTACCGGAACTCACAACTTTTAGACGACCCGGCTGACCCCGACCCTAGCCTCCCCGCTCTAGCCCGATGCTGATCCGCCTCTGGATCTTCTTCTCTTCTCCTCTTTCTTCTTCTTTCTCTTCTCCTCCACGCCTTCTCACTTTCTCTTTCTAGTTTCTCTCTCTAGATTTCAGTTTGTGGTGTGGTTTGGAAATGAAGACCAAGGGGGCCTTTATATAGGTTTTTCGGAAGCTCGAGGTGGCGTCTGGTGGCTTCAGAACGCGACACCTTGCTTCCGCATGCAACCAATGGCATTGCTGCACGCCTGGAGCAGCTTCTTCCATCCCAATCCACTTGAGTCAAATGGCACCTTCCCATTGGTCCATTCCCCAAGCTGCTGGGTAGCTGAACGTGATTGGTTCGTTGAGGATGAGCATCTCCTCCTTGATCCTATCTTCCTGGATCAAGTGGCTCCTTCCCATTGGCTCATTGTTGATCAGATCAACAAGCTGCTGAGTGTCTAGACCTGATTCGTCCAACACATTCCTGTCTTCTCATGAGCAGCTGAGTGCTCACACCTGATTGGTGCAACACATTTTCGTCCCATATGAGCAGCTGAGTGCCCATACTTGATTGGTTAGCTTGAACTTATCCTTGATAAGCAGCTGGTGTCGCCATTCCATTGGCCTTGTGCTTCCTTCTACGTTTCCTCTTGCAGAAGGTTTCGTACGTTTCCCTGTACGGAGGGTTTCGTACGTTTCCTTGACTGGAGGGTTTCGTCCCGTCGTACTTGAGAATTAAAATCTCTTATTTTAATCCTTCCGTCATTTCCATGTTTCTGAGCTTTCACATAGCTGCTTGGAAATGTGCGGGAAACCTCTATCCCGGGACATTTGTGTTTCTCGCGCTTGTCATGGGATGGATCCTCCGTGTAGTGGGATGGTCGTTTATGGCCGTCCGTCCCGTCTATGTCTTGACCGTGCTTAGCTAGCATGAGGGATATTACATTCTCCCCCCCTTAATAGAATTCGTCCTCGAATTCTTTTAAGGCTATGATGCCTCTCCTTGTTCCATAGAGTTGTGTGCTGCATAGAACTCGGGGTAGTTCTTCCGGAAGTTCTCTTCATCTTCCCAGGTGATAACTTGCCGGTTTTGTCTTCCCCAGAATACTTGAATCTGTGGAATCTCGCGGTTCTTCAGCTTACGAACTCGGCGATCTCCAAGTCTGATTGGACCTTCTGGGTAAGTAAGGTTTGGCTGCAATCCTTCTACCCGTTCAGGTTCAATGGCGTTGGGGTCACGTATATGCTTCCGTAGCATTGATACATAGAACCCTGGATGTAGATTCATGTCCGCCGGTAGGTCTATGCGATAGGCCACCTCTCCAACTCGCCCAATGACTTGATATGGACCTATGAATCGTACTGCTAGCTTCCCGATCTTCCCAAAACGATCTCTACCCTTTTGAGCGGATACCTTTGAGGTATACCCAATCTCCAATGGTAAAGACTATCTCTCGCCGGTTTTGATCGGCATACTTCTTCTGTCGATCTTGTGCCTTCTTCATGTTTGCTCGGATTGTTTGAAGCTTCTCCATTGTTTCTTCAACCATCGGCGGTCCGAACATTCTTCTTTCTCCAACTTCAGTCCAACAAAGTGGAGTGCGGCAAGGTCTACCATATAGTGCTTCATATGGTGACATGCCGATACTGGAATGATAACTGTTGTTGTAGGAGAACTCTATAAACGGTAGATATTCCTCCCACATACCAGCCCAATCCAATATGCACAACCTAAGCATATCCTCCAAAGTCCGGATGGTTCGTTCTGTCTGGCCATCGGTCTCGGGATGAAATGCAGTGCTCATGTGTAGTTCCGTTCCTAAGGCTCCTTGCAGTGCTCTCCAGAATATTGCAGTGAACCTTGGGTCGCGGTCGGATACAATGTCCGTTGGCACTCCATGTAGCCTAACTATTTGCTTGATGTATAGGTCGGCTAAGATCTCCACCTTATCAGTATCTCTAACAGGTAACAAGCGAGTTACCTTAGTTAGTCGATCCACTATAACCCATATAGTGTTGTTCTGCCTTCCTCTTGCTATGGGCAATCCTGTGATGAAATCCATAGCAATGGAATCCCATTTCCATTCTGGTATAGGCAGACTTTGAAGTAACCCTCCTGGTACTTGGTGTTCCGCCTTGATTTGTTGACAACTCTGGCATTGGGAGACATATCTTGCCACTGCTTTCTTTATTCCAGGCCAATGATAATATCTCCGTATGTCCTTGTACATCTTCGTGCTTCCGGGATGAATACTAAGTATGGAATGATGCGCCATCCTTAGTATTTCTTCTCGTAACTCTCCTCCTTCAGGTACAGTGATCCTTCCTTGGAGAAGAACGGTTCCATCTTCTGCTAAATGATACTCCTCATTATCGCCTTCTCCTTCTCTAATCCGAGTAGCGATCTTCTGAATTTTCTCATCCCGTTGCTGTTCTTCTCGAATCCTTTGCACTAGGCTGGCTTGGTTTATCGCTTGTAGTCCCAACCTCTCGCTGGACTCTCCTTCCAAGGCTGATAAACTTACTAGCTTCAGTTCACGACCTAGTGTTCTAGATCCTTCTCCACACTCACTTCTGCTCTTCTGCGGCTCAAAGCATCAGCTACCACGTTGGCCTTTCCAGGGTGGTATTGAATCTTCACGTCGTAGTCCGCAATAAACTCCATCCAACGTCTCTGGCGCAGGTTGAGATCTGCTTGAGTGAACAAGTATTTAAGACTTTGGTGATCTGTTAATACCTGAACACTCTCCCCGTACAGATAAGATCTCCATATCTTCAGCGCGAAGACAACTGCCGCCATCTCCAAGTCATGCGTCGGATAGTTTTCTTCATGCTTCCTTAGCTGTCTTGAGGCATAAGCTATTACCTTCTCCTCTTGCATTAGAACGCATCCTAACCCAATCCGTGATGCATCCGTATACACCACATATGGCTTGCCAGGTTCCGGTAGAGTAAGAATGGGTGCTTTCGTCAATGCTTCTTTTAGCTCGGCGAATGCACACTCAATTTCTTCACTCCAGACGAATGGAACTCCTTTCCCGGTTAGCCTTGTTAATGGTTTCGCCATGATTGAGAAGTCCTTTACAAACTTGCGGTAGTATCCGGCCAATCCCAGAAAACTCCTTACTTCTGTTGCATTTGTGGGTTGTGGCCAGTCTTGTATAGCCGCTATCTTCTCGGGGTCGACAGAAACTCCTTGTTCTGAAACCCTGTGTCCTAGGAAACCTATCTCCCGTTTCCAGAACCGACACTTGCTGAACTTGGCGTAGAGCTTCTGACTTCTTAGTCTTTCCAAGACTTTCCGCAGATGCTCCTTGTGCTCTTCCTTGGTTTTGGAGTAAACCAATATGTCGTCGATGAAAC